GGATTCCTGAGTGGTGTGGCCCACAGGGCTCTGTGACTTTCCATAGGACCTGCAATCCCAGCCGCAGGGAGAAAGACAGACACTTCCTTCCCATGCCCCCCAGCCCCCCTTGATGCCTGCCTGGCAGGGCTTGATGGGGAGTGGGTGGGGAGAGAGAGGGTGACATCTCAGTCTCAGTCTCAGGCTCCCTCCACTTAGATGCTGTAACTTGGGAGAAGGGGGCTCCCTTCCCCCACATGTTCCCTCTCCAAGGCCCAGTGACTGGGGGTGGCTGAACGCCCCATGCTGGTGTGGTAGGTGGGGCATTTTGCTGGAGTTTTATTGACCCTGTGCTTCCGGGCATGCAAGAGAGGAAAAATGAAAAACCCACAAAAACCCCTTCCTTTGTCTCTCGGGGAAATTTCTGACATTTTGCCCGCTGTCTGCAATCAGCACTCAGCTGTGTACTGGGGCCGATTGGTGGAGGAAGGAAACGGGGAGACCTTTGAGATTGAGAAATTAAGATGTCACCAGATCCCTCCTCCCACCCAGGCCTGTTATGCCCTTTCTAGCAACCTCAACAGTTGATCCCCAGCCCTCTGCTTACACACCCCCCAGTGACGGGGAGCTCACTTACTGACTCATAACAACAGCAATGGTTATCATTGGTGGAGCATGTGCCACGCCAGCCACAGTGCTGAGCCCTGTAACTATCTTAGCTCATTGAGCCCTGATAGGAAACCCAAAGAGGAAACCTGCACACGGCAGGGATCAGGGATTTGCCCACGGTCACATGCTAGTAAGTGGCTCGGGCGGGGCTCAAACATGGCTGTCTAGCTAGAATCCTGAGCCCTTCACTCTTATTTGGTACTGACCCCGAGGCATTGCATTTGGAGAGGCAGCAGGGCATATCAGTGAAGAGCCTGTGTGCGGGCTGCACCCCCTTCCTATTCTGCACCCTGCTTCCTGGATCACCCTCCCTTTGGTGCCCAGACTCAGCCCCCATAGGAGGGGTGTCCCCCGCAGGCGTGGGGGGATGATGTGAAGCCAGGCCTGGTGTTAGGCAGAGAGCACGGTTTGTTTGGGGCCAGGCGGGTGTACCCCATCTTGTCCTGGGGGAGCCGAGGGTTTCTCCAAGGAGGGAGCAGAGGCCTCCCCTGCCCTCCCTGCTCTGGCTGAGCTCGGCTGCCCCACGTTCCCTCCCCATTTGCACTCCTTCTTCAGGGCAACGGGGGGGCACTCGACAAACATCTTTCAGCCCCAATTCCAAAGCACAAGAAGAAAGCATCTGATGGCTCCGAAAAGTCCAGATGTCCACCTCTGCTCTGGTTCCCCAAGGAGAGGACTGCCCTGGATCACTGCTGGTGGGGCAGGGGCAGGGAGAATGAGGGCAGTTCTCCAAGAAGGGCAGCCTGTGGGCTGAAAAGTCCTTCCAAAATATGTCTGCTGCAACAGGCAGTTAGCATCTGGGAACCATGAGAACACACGCCTGGGGGACATGACCTTGTTGGAAAATGCAGGGGGGACTTCCTTGAGGAGGTGGCATCCAAAGGCATCCTGAGGACAAGCAGGGGTTGGCCAGGCCAAGGTGGGGAGGGGGTGTGCTCTGGTTAGAGGACACAGAATATGCCAAGGCCTGCAGTGGGCAAGGATGGGCATTCAAGGCCTGGGAGGGGCTCCATTTGGCGGCAGCAAAAGGGGTGAAGGGGGTTGGGGAAAGGCAGGGCGGAGGGGCTGACAGCCCAGACTCAGCAAAGAGCAGTTCTGCCCGTGGGAGTTTCGGGGGCCAAAGCAGCTGGCGCCGGCCTGCCTGATGCTGAGGCAGAGGTGAGAGGTGGTGACCGGAAAGTGAGGACAAACTGTGAGAACATCTGGAGTCAGAAAGGCGCTGAGCGGAGACTGGGAGCATCGGGACAGAGGGACACTTGGGAACCAGTTCTCAGAACCAGTGCAACCCCTGAGGCTTTCTTAACCATTTCGTTTCTGATTCTGAAAGTGGTGCTCAGGGGAGAAGATGAAAGGCGGGAAAACAAGAAACTAGCAAGTCGATAAACACTCATCATTTTTCTGCCCCCTCTACTCCAGGGCCCGTGGCCTTTCTGTCCTCTGCATAAGCCACGCCTGTTCCTCCCCCAGGGCCTTTGCACTGGCCGTTACCTCTGCCTGGAATGCTCCCAGCCCACCCCCACCCCGGCCCCTGCACAGCTGCGTCCTTCAGTCCTTTGGGTCTCAGTAGCCCCCCCCCATCCCCCGCTGTCTCACTCGGTCACTCCACTCTCCACTGCTTTCCTCTCCCTGAGCTCCTGCCATATGTTCTTTGGAGTCTGTCTCTGAAGTCTGAACCCACTTGCTAGTTTCTTTTTTTTAAAAATATTTATTTATTTGGCTGCGTTGGATCTTAGGTGCCGCACGCGGGATCTGTTTTTAGTTGCGGCATGTGGGATCTAGTTCCCTGACCAGGGATCGAACCCCGGGCTGCCTGCATTGGGAGCACAGACTCTTAGTCACTGGACCACCAGGGAAATCCCGCTAATTTCTTTCTTTGCGTGCTGACTCTTCCCCAGGCTAGAGTGTCAGTTCCATGAGGGCAGGGACCTCACCTTCAATCTCTTAAATCAGTGCTTGGGGGCTTCCCTGGTGGTCCAGTGGTTAGGACACCGCACTTCCACTGCAGGGGGCATGGGTTCGGTCCCTGGTCGGGGAACTAAGATCCCACATGCTGCAGCATGGCCAAATAAATAAATAAAAATAAATCAGTCCCTGGCGCGAAGTTGGTGGTCAGTAAGTGTGAGTCTAGTGAGTCAGACTGACCTCCAACTCAGTTACTCTGAACCTGTGAGTGTGTATCCTGCAACAGAGGGTTTTCTAAAGTTCACACCAGAACAGCCCCTGGTGCTGAGAGGCGATTTTAAAGGGACCCAGGAGGGGAATCTGGAAAGGATCAGGTGATCAGGAAAGTTCCATGGTGGGGGGCTGGTTTCAGCCTGACCTGGCTAGATACGAAGGGTTCCCTGGGGTGGAAATGGAGATGGAGGGGGTATCTCTCATATCAGTTTCCTGGGCTGCCATTAACAAAGTACCACAAACTGAGTGGCTTCAACACCAGCAATTCATTTTCTCACAGTTCTGGAGGCTAGAAGTCCAGGATCAATGTGTTGGCAGGGCTGTGCTTCCTCTGAAGCCTCCAAGGAAGGCTCTGACCTCTCTCCCAGCTTCTGGTGGTTCCTTGGCTTGTGGCAGCATACCTCCACTCTTCACGTGGGCATCTTCCTGTGTGCATATCTGTCTCTGTATCCAAAATTTCCCCCTTTTTCTAAGGACACCAGTCATACGGAATGAGGGCCCACCCTAACGACTTCATTTTAACTTGATGACCTCTGTAGGGGCCCTGTCTTCAAATAAGATCACATTCTGAGATACTGGAGGGTTAGGACTTTAGCATCACTTTTTTTGTTGGGTGGGGGGCATAATTCAACACATAACAACATTCCAGGACATCTGAGGAGTGCTAGAGAAAAGATGGAGAGGCCCAGGCTGGCTGGGGTACAGAGTACATGAAGCAAATGAGGTACAATGACGCCAGACCAGGAGTCTGCAGACAAGAGTGAGGCCTGGGAGTGCCAGGCTGAGGAGTCTGTATTGCTTAGGTTGTCAGAACAGGTATTGATCAAATACGTGCCAGCCCCTGTGACGGGGCACTCATTGGTGAGCAGACACAGAAAGATCCATCCTTGAGGAGCTGACACTCATGTGGGAAATCCAGACACTAAGTTTATCCTCTAAATAAATATGAAATTACAACAGAGTTAGGTGTAAGAGGGCAAGGTATGTAGGTCTCTGATGGTTTATAACAGGGGTCTTGTCCAAATTGCTGAGGAAGTGATGCCTTGACTATGATGTGAAGGCTGAGTGGGAGTTTACTAGGGGAAAGGGGGGGAAAGCAGTCCTGGCAGAGGACCAGCTTGTGCAAAGGCCCTGGGGCAGAAGGGAGCATGGCCACCTTGGGGAACAGGGAGACTCCAGTGTGGCTAGAGAATAGAACCAGGGGTATATGAGTGGGCATTGACCATGGTAAGGACCTAGACCTCTATCCTGGGAGCCATGAGAAGTCTTTGAAAGTTTTCAGCAAGGAGTGGTGGGTCAGATTTACCTCTCTGAAAGCCCACTGGGGAGCTACTGAAGTTTCCTGAGCTAGAGGGTGTGTACCATCAAGCTAGTACTTTTGAGAGGTTCTTGCGTGTTATTCTAGAGCAGGGACTCTTACCTGTGGCCCATGGACTCCCAAGGGTCCGTGAGTAGATTTCAGGGAAGCCATGAACCTGACTGAGTTCACTTATTTTCATTCGCCTCTAACAAAAATTCCCTTTATTAACTCCTTCCATTATGAATTAAGGCAACAAAGCACAGCAGTAATAGCAGTACCTAAAGATTTTCCATCAGTAGAAATCAGGTATTCTCATATTATATTACAACTGCTGAAGATATCATAAGACATTGTTTATATTCATCACTACTTTGAAACTATGGTAGTTATTAGATCTTATTTAATGAGTTTACAAAGAATCACATGTATTACATCTTAAATTATTTTGTTTAACGCTTTGATAACTGTATGCCAACATAGCTGGTTCCTTCGTAATCCTAAGTGTTTTATTTTGTGCACTTGAAAACGTGATTCTGAGCAGGGTCCACAGGCTCTCCCAGAATGACTAGGGGACACGAGAAATGTTGAGATCCTCTGGTCTAGATTCCTTTGGTTGTAACGAACAGCAGCCTAACTCAGGCCTAAACAAGACAAAAGGGAAATAATTGAGTCAATAACAGAGTAGTCCATGGTGCTGTAACTCAGGTTTGAATGATGTCCTCAGGAGTTCATTTCTCTCCACCTCTGTCACCTCTGAGTCACCTCTTTCTGAGGCAGGCCCTGCCCACACCCCAGCAGCAATGACCCTCCAAGGTGGCCTGACCTGGAGCTTCTCTGCTTCTCTTCCCCAGGGCGTTCCCTGAAGGAGCTGTGCCCTGAGGGGCCCAATGACTGCAGGAAGCAGTGTGATCCCGACTACTACTTGGACAGAAATGGCCGCTGCACAGCCTGTGTGAGCTGTTCTGGAGGTAAGGGCTGTGTCTCTCTTCCGGGGGCTCCTTCCAGGGAGGATGGGGAGCCTCGATGGGGTGGGAAGGCAGCGGAGGCGGAGAATCTGAAAGGTGTGGTGGATCAAGATTTGGTGCCTGTACTCTGAATCAGTCCCCTGGTGCCTCAGTTTACCCCCTCTGGATTTGTGAATTGATATCAACCATGATCTTTTGCATCCATACTTTTTTTTTTTCTTTTTTGGCTGTGCCGTGCAGCTTGTGGGATCACAGTTCCCTGACCAGGGATTGAACCCAGGCCCTCGGCAATGAAAGTGCTGAGTCCTAACCACTGGACCGCCAGGGAATTCCCTGCATCCATACTTTTTAGAGAGAATTAGTTACCATGTTTCCTCAAGGGAGGGACTCACACTTATGTATTAAGTTTACTTTTCAAAAAATAATTAATTAATTAAAAATTTTCAGCTGTGTTGGGTCTTCGCTGCTGCGCATGGGCTTTCTCTAGCTGCGGCGAGTGGAGGCTACTCTTGGTTGCGGTGCATGGGCTTCTCACTGCGGTGGCCTCTCGTTGCGGAGCACAGGCTCTAGGCACGCAGGCTCAGTAGTTGCAGCATGCGGTCTCAGTAGCTGTGGCTCGTGGGCTCTAGAGCGCAGGCTCAGTAGTTGTGGTGCACGGGCTTCGTTGCTCCGTGGCATGTGGGGTCTTCCCAGACCAGAGATCAAACCCGTGTCCCCTGCATTGGCAGGCAGATTCTTAACCACTGCACCCCCAGGGAAGTCCCATGTATTAAGTTTAATCTTTGCTAAACCCCTAGGGGAAGATTCTTTTCTTATCCCAGCTTTACAGTGAGAAAACTGAGGTTTAGGGAAGTTAAGGGCCTTTCCAAAATTACAATGTTGTGGTAATTTGCAGCACTAGAGTTTTAGCTGCTGGTTTGACACCAAGGGCTGTGTTCTTTCTCTAAGACCACAGTGCTTCCAGGAGAGCTTCGTCAATAAATGCTTTCTTCGTTAATTTCTTATTATGGGTAGTGAATATGGTTTGTGTGCTATCTCGCGTTTGTTGGGTTTTTTGGGGGGTGAGATGGGGAAATTTGTTGAGATTTCTTGTGGCCTAATACATTTTCATGCTTTTTAGTATGTTGAGTGTGTTTGGGGGGAAAAATGCGTATTCTGCTTATTGTGTACAAAATTCCACGTATACCTATCTAATCAAGCTTGTTAATTATGTTATTTTCATAAGATGCATCCTTATTTATTTTGCCACCTTCACAGCGGTTGGTTTTTGAGATAGACATGTTAAAATCTATCTCCCAATATGCTTGTTTTTCATCAGATTTTCATTGTGTTCTATTTTTGCTTTATAAATGTCAAAGCTATGTTATTAGGTACAATGTTGATGAGTATCATGCTATCTTGGTGGGCTGGACGTTTTATCAACATGAAATACACCTCTCTGTTTCTTACAATGTGTTTGCCTTAATTCCATTTCTGTTTGATATTAATAGTGCCATTCTTGTTTATGTTAGCATTTCTCTGGTGTATCTTTAAAATTTTTTAAATTAATGACCACATTTTATTAAACAAAAGTTATATGCATCCATCATAAAAATTCAAGCAATACACAAGTGTAAGGAAGAAAGTCAACTCTGTCCCTCCCCCATCAGTGGGTGACTGACACCTCTCTGTCCCTCTCTATAGAGAGAAGAATGGGTAGGTTAGTAGCCAGACAGACTATACACACATAGAAAGAAGGAATCTTTAAGAGGATGGGATCATACTATTTATGGCGTGAAAATGATTATAGTTAACTTTATTCAAATATATCAGAGGAAGAAGGAACCACAGTGAAGTAGCTAAACTATCACAAGAGACAGTAGTTCTTAAACAAAGAAACCCTCTGAAATGAACAAAAGACGTTACGAAAATCAATAAGCGGCTAGGAATCATTTAAGGAATGACTGTCTCTTCTGGTAGCGTCATATTCTACTTGTTTCAATTTTGGGGTAGCAGAGAGTTGCTTGACTCCCTGTAATGAAAAACGAATGGTTTGGGCTTCCCTGGCGGCGCAGTGGTGGACAGTCCGCCTGCCGATGCAGGGGACACGGGTTCGTGCCCCAGTCCGGGAGGATCCCGCGTGCCGCGGAGCGGCTGGGCCCGTGAGCCGTGGCCGCTGAGCCTGCGCCTCCGGAGCCTGTGCTCCGCAACGGGAGAGGCCACAACAGTGAGAGGCCCGCGTACTGAAAAAAAAAAAAAAAAAAAAAAAAATTGAAATATAATTGATTTACAATGTTTCAGGTATATAGCAAAGTGATTCAGTTATATGTATATTCTTTTCCATTATAGATTACTACAAGATATTGAATATAGTTCCCTGTGCTATACATTAGGTCTTTGTTGCTTATCTATTTTATTTACAGTAGTTGTGTATGTGTTAATCCCAAATGCCTAATTTATCCCTCCCCTCTAAAGATAAGTTTTTGTGTTTGAAAAACCCATGGTGATGGGCTTCCTTGGTGGCGCAGTGGTTGAGAGTCCGCCTGCCGATGCAGGGGACATGGGTTCGTGCCCGGGTCCGGGAAAATCCCACATGCCGCGGAGCAGCTGGGCCCGTGAGCCATGGCCGCTGAGCCTGCGCGTCCGGAGCCTGTGCTCCACAATGGGAGAGGCCACAACAGTGAGAGGCCCGGGGACCGGGAAAAACAAAAAACAAAAAAAAACATGGTGGGGCTTCCCTGGTGGCGCAGTGGTTGAGAGGCCGCCTGCCGATGCAGGGGACACGGGTTCGTGCCTCGGTCTGGGAAGATCCCACATGCTGCGGAGTGGCTGGGCCCGTGAGCCATGGCCGCTGAGCCTGCGCGTCCGGAGCCTATGCTCCGCAACCGGAGAGGCCACGACGGTGAGAGGCCCGCGTAAAAGAATGGTTCTACATTATCTTTGCTGTGTTATAGTCTATGATGTTTATCATCTTTTCTGTAGCCCTAAGTCCCTTGGCATGTTAGCTTCACTTTGCTATTTAAATTCATTCATTGTGCCCTTTGAGTCCATTTATCACAGCTTCTCATTCCTGAATTTTTCATTTTGATTTGTCACTTGATTGGTTAGGTTTCACTCTCATGTGGACTTTTCAGGGAGGACTCATCTTTGCACCTTCCTTCACTTTTTTCATGTTTGAGAATATTTGTTGCTTTTAAACTGGAATGACAACTTGGGCGGGTATAATATTACGCCTGGGACATATTTTCTCTAGAACTTGGTAAGCATTGGTGCACTGTCTTCTCGTGATGGAATTGCTGTGGAGGGGAGTCTGCAGTCAGCTTCTTTCCCCCTCTTTGTAGGTGACTGCAAGAATCATTCTTTCTCTAGCCTTAAGGATCAAAAACTTAGCCAGAATATGCCTTGATATTAATTGTTTGGAAACAAATCTTCCTGGTATCTGGTATGTCTTTTCTATCTGCAGATTTAGTTCTTCCTTCATTTCAGGGGAACTGACATGGATTTTATCTTTGCTAAACAGATATATCTCAGTGTCAACTTGATGGATACCAATTATTCTTATGTTTGATTGTCTTTGCCTTTCCTCCTTGTCTATCATCTTCATTAATTGCATTAATATCTGCCTTTTTACCTTGCATTCACCGGTATTTTCTCAATCTTTTCTCCATGCCAGTTAACTCAATTTTCTGTCTAATCTTTTTTGTTTCTTGCTGCCCAGGGCAAGACAGGGCCCCCAGGACACTGGTAGTTCACTTACTGAATTTCTAATTATGGTGTTGTGCATCTCAGTTTGTTTTCTTTTGCTCTGCAGTCTTCCTTCTTATCTCATCCTTTTAAAACATCATCTTTTTTTTGAGCTCTTCCTTTATTGAATTACTATTCTTATTAAGTTCCTTTATAGTGTGAAGCACTCCTGGGATTGCTTGTTAGTTGCAGACTGGGTTCTTTGTCCTTGAAAACTATATTCCTATCTTTTTTAGATCTTTCTCTTGTTCTTGTCTTCACTCCTCCCTCCCTTCCATCTTTCCTGCTATAGCATGTTTGCACTGTCGCCTTCTTATATTTTTCCTTCTTGCTTGAGCTTAGCTGGGGCAGCAGCTCTGTCCCTGATACAGTGTGAAGGATTTCTCCTTCACACCTGCCCCATCTCACTGGCCTTGAGTTCATCGTCGCAGCTCAGAGCATCAACTGGGGATTCTCAGGGTTACATTTTTTTTTTTGGCTGCGCGGCGGGCCTTGCGAGGTCCTAGCTCCTCAACGAGGGATTGAACCTGGGCCACGGCAGTGAAAGCACTGAGTCCTAATCCCTGGACCACCAGGGAATTCCCAAGAATTGCTTTTTTAAAAAAAATTGTGGTAAAATATACGTAACATAAAATTTATTATTTTAACCATTTAAAAGCGTACTGTTCAGCGGCATGTAGTGCATTCATATTTTTGGGTAACCATCACCATCATCCAGCTCCAGAACTTTTTCATCTTCCCCAATTGAAACACTCTCCCCATTAAACACTAGCTCCTCATCGCTCCCCGCACCCTCACCCCAAGGCTTTGGCAACTACCATTCTATTCTCTGTCTCTATGAGTTTGACTACTCTAGGATGTTCATAGAAGTGAAATCATACAATATTTATCCTTTTGTGACTTGTTTCACTTAGCGTAATATCTTCAAGGTGCATCTATGCTGTAGCATGTGTCAGAATTTCCTTCCTTCTTAAGGCTGAATGGTAGTCCATTGGACGGATCTACCACATTTTGTTTATCCGTTGATGTCCACGGACACTTGGGTTGTTTTCACCTTTTAGCTATTGTGGATATTGTTGCTATGAACATAGTTGTACAAATAGCAGTTCAAGTCCCTGCTCTCAATTCTTCACCCACTCAGCAGTGGAACTGCTGGATCATGTGGGAATTCTATGTTTAATTTCTTGAGGAATCCTGACTGTTACCTTTGAAACTCGTTTTAGGAGCCTGAGGGCGGCCTGGGTGGGGGTCAGAGAGCAGCCAGAGATGGGTGTGGTCATGGCAGCAGGGGCGCTGCCTTCTCTTCTGTCAGAGTCTTTACCGAGCTCCTGCTGCCTAGAAAGGGGTGCCGCCCACTCCTGGAGCTTCTGCTCATTCCCCCAGCTAGGGAATTGGCAAGTCCACGCAGTCTTTTTTTTTTTTTTTTTTTGCGGTACGAGGGACTCTCACTGTTGTGGCCTCTCCCGTTGCAGAGCACAGGCTCCGGACGCTCAGGCTCAGCGGCCATGGCTCACGGGCCCAGCTGCTCCGCGGCATGTGGGATCTTCCCGGACCGGGGCCTGAACCCGTGTCCCCTGCATCGGCAGGCGGACTCCCAACCACTGCGCCACCAGGGAAGCCCCACGCAGTCTTTTCTGCCTCTGCCCAGGCCTTTGATATTACATGCAGGCAGCTACTCAGAGTGTTTTTTTCTTGAGTTTTCCGTGGATGTCTACCCACTGTCTTTAGGTGGAGTCTCCAGATTTTTGAAAATTATCAGGATTTTATTCTCTCCTCAGTACAGCTTCTAAGCTGCAGGTGAGAGAGAGGGGCTGTACCAGGGTCACTACAACAAGGAAGACAGAGGAGAGGGTCCCCAGATGTTTTTAGGAGTCAGGGGTAGGGGCGGGGGGAGGGGGGGTTGTCTTTTAATCATTGCTGCCCACACCCCATTGGTCAGAACCAAGTCACATGACCGCCTGTCCATCTGCAAGGGTGGCTGGGAAATGTAATCTTCCTCTGAGTCCATTTGAAACAGGATTTGGGAAACGCATCACTGTGCTCCAGGGGATTCCTTCTCATAGCTGCAATTTCCTTTTGCATCTCCGAGGATATTAATTATACTGATTCCAAAGGCTTGTTCTGTTTTCTCTTTTATCTGTTTTCTTGAGCGTTAGTTCTGCTTGAGTTTGGGGCTCTTTTTTCTTGGTGCTGGTTTCTTCTGGTCTTTGGTGACTTCGAGTTCTGCACGTGGGATCTGATGACTGGGGTAGGGTGGGGGTCTGCGAGTGGGGCTTGTGAAATCCACCTCCGGAGACTGCGAGGATGAGCGGATGGGGTGGAGGTGCCGGGCGGGGTCTGTCAGAGGCTGGTCCTCTGGGTCTGCAGGGTCCCTTCCTTCCCCCACGGCTGACCAGCCCGGGGGCGCTGCCCAGCTCACCTCACCCGAGTATCCTTGGGGAGACGCTTGGCTTCTAGCTCTGTGGCGTGACTGGATGAGGAGTGTGGGGCGAGGGACCCACCTGGGTGCTTCTGCTGCACTCCTTGTGGGATTCCCTCCCGCTTGCCCCTACCATTCACCCACTTGGAGACAAGCACCCAGAGCCTCTCCTAGCATAATCAGTCGTATGGGGTACGTTTTGGGCTGTGGTCTCCTTCCATCCAATTCCATCTGCCCTCCATATTTAAGAAGTCTTCATCATTTCTGGTTGACCAAAAATGCCCCTTCTTGTTTTCGCAGGGATATTTGCATTCTTTAATTATTATTTTTACCAGTGATTTTTTTTTAAAGATAAAATTCATCATTTAAAGTGTACAGTGCTGGGCTTCCCTGGTGGCGCAGTGGTTGAGAGTCCGCCTGCCGATGCAGAGGACGCAGGTTCGTGCCCCGATATGGGAAGATCCCACATGCCGCGGAGCGGCTGGGCCTGTGAGCCGTGGCCGCTGAGCCTGCGCATCCGGAGCCTGTGCTCCGCAGCGGGAGAGGCCGCAACAGTGAGAGGCCCGCGTACCGCAAAAAAAAAAAAAAAAAAAAAAGTGTACAGTGCTGTGTGGGACTTCCCTGGTGGCGCAGTGGTTAAGAATCCGCCTGCCAATGCAGGGGACACGGGTTCGAGCCCTGGTCCGGGAAGATCCCACATGCCACAGAGCAACTAAGCCCGTGCGCCACAACTACTGAGCCTGCGCTCTAGAGCCTGCGAGCCACAACTACTGAGCCCACGTGCCACAACTACTGAAGCCCGTGTACCTAGAGCCTGTGCTCCACAACAAGAGAAGCCACGACTATGAGAAGCCCGCGCACCACATAGCCCCTGCTTGCTGCAACTAGAGAAAGCCCACGCGCAGCAACGAAGACCCAACGCAGCCAAAAATAAATAATTTATTAAAAAATAAATAAAGTGTACAGTGCTGTGGTTTTATTATATTCACAATGTGCAACCACCACCACTATCTAATAAAAAGGAACCCCCTTAGCTCCCAATTCTCCCCTCCTTCCATCCCCTGGCAATCACTAATCTACTTTCTGTCTCTATGGATTTGCCTACTCTGGACATTTCATATAAATGGAATCATGCAGTACGTGGCTTTTAGTGTGTGGCTTCTTTCACTTTATATAGTATTTTCAAGGTTCATTCATGTTGTAGTGTGTATCAGCACTTCATTCCTTTTTATGGCTGAATAATATTGTGTTATATGTATATAACACATTTTGTTTATCCATTTATCAGTTGGTGGACATTGGTGTCGTTTCTACTTTTTGGCTATTATGAATCATGCTGGAATGAACATGTATGTGCATGTTTTTGTGTGGACATATGTTTTCAGTTGTCTTGGGTATGTACCTAAGAGTGGAATTGCTGGATCATATAATAAATCTATGTTTAACTTTTTGAGGAACTGCCAGACTGCCTTCTACAGCTCTGTCCTACTTTATATTCCCGCTAGCCTTCTATGAGGATTCCAATTTCTCCATATCCTCGCCAACACTTGTCATTGTCTGTCTTTTTTATTCCATCCACCCTAGTGGATATGGCGTCGTCTGTCATAGTGGTTTTGGTTTGATGACTCATAGATGGATCTGATGACTAATGACATTGAGCATCTTTTCATATGCTTACTGGCCATTTGTATATCTTCTCTGGAGAAAAGTCTTCTTAAATCCTTTGCCCATTAAAAAAAAAAACCCAAAAAACTGAATAGACTTTTTTTTTCCGAGAAGTTTTCAGTTTATAGAAAAACCGAGCAGAAAGTGCAGAGATTTCCCACATGCCTGCTATCCTCACATTTTCCCCCAGTATTAACATCTTGCATTAGTGTGGTACATTGTTACAGTTGATGAACCAATATTGGTGCATTATTAACTAAAGTTCATAGTTTACATTAAGGGCCACTCTTTGTGCTGTATATTCTATGATTTTTGACAAATGTGTAATGTCATTTATCCACAGTATCATACAGAATAGTTTCACTGCTTTAAAAATCTTCTGTGCTCTGCCCATTCATCTTCCCCTCCCCCACCCCCTACCAAACCCTGGCAACCACTGATCTTTTTACAGTCTCTGTAGTTTTGTCTTTTCCCGAAGGTCATGTAGTTGGAATCACAGTATGTAGCCTTACAATTGGCTGCTTTCACTGAGAAGTTTGCACTTAATGCCCCTCCATGTCTTTTTTGCCCATTTTAATATTGGGACATTCACTTCTTTTTAATACCATTTTAGTGATCTCCAGGGATGCGGGCTGGGAGGTGGAGGCCGCCTCATGGACCCCGCCTGCCCTCTAGTCCTCACATCAGGAACACTCTGGAAAGAAGGGCTGGGCATACCAGCTGCCCTGCCCAACAGAATGCCATAGCAGCATCCTCCCTCATGTGCTGGACTGTCCCTGGGACTTTTCTGAGTCCCTTCCCTCGCCCTCCCTCTGTCCCCGGTAACCCTTCTCTGTGTCCCTTAGACGACCTCGTGGAGAAGAAGCCATGCTCATGGAACTCTACCCGCGTCTGCGAGTGCCGGCCTGGCATGTTCTGTGGCACATCAGTCATCAACTCCTGTGCCCGCTGCCTCCCTCACTCCGTCTGCCCAACAGGGATGGTTGTCAAGTTCCAGGGTGAGTATCCCCACCGCCCAGGACCACGATCTGTGCCAATGCTCCCCCCCCCGCCCCCCGCAGACCTCCCAACGACTCTCCACCTCCCACGTCCTCCTTCCTGTTGGACAGATCACATCTCCTATCACGAGGCTGCCAGGGATGCAAACGGAGGCCCCTGCTGCCCCTTCCCTGCACCTCAGGTCCCAGGCTCAGAGAGTCCCAGGCACCGCCCTGGCTGGAAGAGGTCTTGGGTTGGTTTGAGGATCAGGGTAGAAATTCTTTGATGCCTGATAAACAAGAAAGAACCCTGAAGTTTCTGTCCTGGGAGTTTCCTGGAAGATGAGGGCTGGTTTCCCATTTTGGTCCAGGGATGCACCGTGCCTCTCACTCTGCCACGCATTCGCACACGCTGTTCGCTCTTTCTGGGACACGCTTCCTTCCCCGTTCACTAAGTCAACTCTGCTTTCAGCTCTCTGTCCAAACATCTCCTCCCGACCTCTCCCAGGTCACTTCTCGACATGGAGGCAAACACTTGTGTCTGTCTCGGTGTGGGCGGTGCTTGTACCCCTCCCTAGGCCGTAGCTTCGTGAGGGCCACGGTCATCTCCCCGCTGCCTAATTAGACACCCGGCGCAGAATCTGCTCTTCAGAGATATGTGTTGAATGATGTGACAGGGAGATCAGAGCTGGGGGTGGTGGGGTTCAGATCTGGCCGGATTCTCTCAGGTCACACAGAACCCTCAGCGGAGGGACCCTCAGAAGCCCGCCACCCACAAACAGGGGCAGGTGGTGGCGTGGAAAGGGCTCTGTATTGGACATCAGGTACCTGGGGTTTTGTACATCTTTGCCTCGTGGGGCATGTTCCCAGTCCTCTCTGGGCCTCAGTCTTCCCATCTGTAAAATGCAGAGATGTGACTAGAAGGCCTTGCATGAGGGCTTTTCAGCTCAGAAACTCTTGTGTCTCTAAGAAAAGTAGCCTCGAGGTCTGTTGCTCCAGCCTGTGGACCGGCTCTGGCTGGCGAGGCTCTCTCGACGGTGTTCCCGCACCTGCCACACGGTGGCGCCAGAGGCCTCTCTTTGCTGCCCCCAGACCTGCTGCCCGAGGCGGTGCCACGGGCCACGCTTAAAATGTGGCCAGTAGCACTGAGATGTGCTGTCAGTATAGAATATGCCCCGGATTTCAAATACTTAGTATAGGAAAAGAATGTAAAACATCTCATTAATTATTTTTTATGTTGATTACCTATTGGCATAATATTTTAGATATATTGGGTTAAATAAACGTATTGCTTAATTTCACTTCTTTTTTACTTTTTAAAATGTGGCTACTAGTGGGCTTCCCTGGTGGCGCATTGGTTGAGAGTCCGCCTGCTGCTGCAGAGGACGCGGGTTCATGCTGCGGTCTGGGAGGATCCCACATTGCCGCGGAGCGGCTGGGCCTGTGAGCCATGGTCGCTGAGCCTGCGCGTCCGGAGCCTGTGCTCCGCAACGGGAGAGGCCACAACAGTGAGAGGCCCGTGTACCGCAAA